GGAATGATTGACCTTAAAATGAATATAAAATAACTTATTCAATAGGAATATTTTTAAAAAAATAATGATTACATCTTAAAAGATTAAAATTTTTTACATTTTTTTAATATTCAACTCTTTAAAAAATATCTTATATTTTTAAATGGATGGAGTATTTGATACACTTTTTCATGCACTCAATTACCTGGGATGGATATTCTTGTATTTGTATAGAGTTTGAAATGAGTTTAAATTAGTTATGTTGTATTTAAGAATACTAATGCTTAACATTTAAATTTAGTCTGACTTGTAAATAAGTCAAAAAATAATTAATATTCTTATTTGAAACTTGATTGTAATTTTTCTTATTTTTTATATATGAAATTTTTATCATATAAAATGGACAAGAAGATGCCCTATCAGTAATGGACATAATTAACACGTCGATGTAATTGAGATAAAATAGGAAAAAAAAAATCTCTTGAACTATATATGGGAGAGCCTAACCGGGGAATTCAACATGTTAAGGGGCAAAGGTAAAAATTTTGTGGGTGTTTACTTGTAATTTTTGCAAAAAATAGAGGAATATTTGGCTACCATCACAGCCTAACTTGCACTGCTCTTATCTTATTTTTGTAGTAAAAAAATATTTATTTTGACCTTCATTAAATAACATTTCAATAATTATTGCATTTATTTTTATGTTTTTATTTTTATTAAATGTTCGGAAGGTTATTAAGTGTTAGAATATTTTATTTTTAAAATATATATATTTAATAGAGATGAAGTTCAAAACTTATTTAATTTTAAAAAATTGATGAAAAGAACCTTATTAGAAGAAAAATTAGTCTTAAAGACCAAATACAATTAAATGATTAAAATTAATATTTTATTTATTAAATAATTTAAACAAATGACCAAAATACTTCTTTCTTTAAACCAATATCATTGAAAAAAAAAATAAAGGGTGCTTGTTCAATACATACACCACAAGTTAAAAGTTTTGCACTTCAAGTTAAAAGTCCTAAATCCTAAGTCAGAAATCTTGTATTTGGTTCTTGAGACTAACTGTTCTTTTAATCAGATCTTTTTCATCAATTTTTTCATTAATTTTTAGATTGAGTGAATTAAATTTAAATTTTTTTAATTTAGGTAAAAATAAAAATACTGAAACATCTAAAGGAATCTTTAGACCATGCCCTAGTAGCTGTTTTGACTATTGTGTAACAATTATATGGTTCGCTATTCCTTGCATTCAATGCTTGGCACATATTTAATGCACTTCCTAACGCACTCAATTACCTAAAATTAGATACTTGAACATGGTTAAAGAGCTGCCCCATTCACAATTTTGTCAGTATAATACTCCCTCATTTCAAAATTATAAAGTACTTTAACTAATTTTTATATTTAATAAATTAATTAATGACATTTAAAATTATACATTTTTATTATGTTTATCTTTATTTAATTGGTTTTTTCAATTAAATTTTTTATTAATTATATCCCTAATTAAGAACATTTTAAAAAATAAATGGTAGTAATTATATATTAAAAGATTCAAAATGCTTTATGCTTTTTAATTATACCCCTAATTATATCAATTACACATTGAAAGATCCAAAATGATGATTTGTTTTTTTTTAATATAATACTCCTCTCTCCCAAATTATAAAATACTTTTAGATAAAATTACATATACTAATAAAGCTTATTAAATATACTTTACAACCTTACTTTTTAAAATAATAATATAAACTTTTAAAAATATTCTTCATTTAATATTCAATTGGTGAAAGAATATTGAAGAGATAATATATGAGAATTGTAATATTGAAAAAGTATCATTAATAAAATCTTATTTTTATTAAAGTGTCTTATATTTTAAAATGTCGAATCTTTTCTAAAAGTATTTTATAGTTTGAGACAGAGATAATACTTAAGAAAAAAAAATGTTATAATCATGGTTGTGAACTCGTTGAGTTAACATTTTAAGCATAAAAAAAATGAGTTAACTCAACTGAAAAATGAGTCGACTTAGATGAGAAGCTAGCTATGGCATTCATATATGAAGCAATGGAAAGTGCAAGTAGCAAATTAAAGAGAATTTAATAATGTCAAAAAGAGGTAAATAATAAATTTAATTCGTATGATAAAATTGATAAACACAATTTTATATCATAACTTTTTTTATGATTTTTTTTGTAGATATGAGCAAATTTTGAACATAATCATTGAGAGATGGGAAACTCAATTGCATAGGCCTTTACATGTAGTTGCATGCTATCTCAATCCTCATGCATGTTCATTATAACCATGATTTCAAAGTTAATTATTGGGTTAAAGAGAATTGTATAGATGCTTCTCAAGAATGATTGAAAATCTAGAAGAGAGAAATAAGATTGAATATGAATTAAATGACTTCCACTATGCAAGATGCATGTTTGGATATGATAGTGCACATGCTTTAAGAACAAAAATGCCTCTAACAGAATGGTGGGATTCTTATGGTGATAGTTGCCCTGCACTTAAAAAAATTACAATTCACATTCATTGCTTATGTTGTAGCTGTTCAGGATGCGAACGTAATTGGAGTGTTTTTGAGATGGTGGGTTATAAATTTTAAAATATTATTTACATTGTTATATTAATTATTAAAATATTGATGAAGTTTTTTTTTCATATTCATACTGAAAAATGAAATCGCTTGCATAAAAAAATGAATGATTTGGCATTTGTAATGTGCAACTTGAGATTAAGAAGCAAGGAGAATAAAAGATCTTATGCCTATGAGTTTAATGATATTCATTTAAATGATGAATGGATAATAGAAGGGAGGATAAATAAAGATACTTACCACATGGAGAAGGAGGATGAGATTTTGGAATCTATTGAAAATCTTGAGAATATTAATAATTCTACTCGTGAGCTTAGTGATCATTTTAAAGTTGACTTAAATTTTGATTTAAATAATAATAATCATAATCATAATGGTAGTAATTAAAATGAAGATGACGATATTGACGAAGAATTTCATGATAGAAATAACCAAAGAAGATTTGAATATCTCTGTTAAATATAAATTACTATATTTTATTATTGTTTGTGTTGAATGACTTTTTTTTATGAGTTTTTAGGTTGTATGACTTTGTTTAAAAACTTTATTGCTAATTTTATATTGAGAATTATGAATTATGATATGTGTGTGTATTGTATTTAATTATTTTAATTTAGATTATATTTAACTAAAATTGATTTTTAAAATATTTTGTTTTGAATGTTACTATTTTAATAATATTTATTATTAAAGTAGATTTTTATGAGTTTATAATATGAGTCTACGTTCATGTCATCGAGTATGTCTAAACTCACAAATTTGACAACTTTAATTATAATAATGAAGAGAGTGAATCGTTTAATGTATAATGGGTGTTGTGGCGGGGAGTGTGTTGTGAGAGAGAGATTGATTTTTGGCAACAAAATATTAGTCTGATGGTGACTTTTTTTTGTTTTTAAAGTGAAAATGAAGAATTATGTTGAAGTCATATACAAAAAAAAATATTAATTATCATAAAATTTATTAACAATTGAATTAAGGCTACCCTTAATTTAGTTGTCAATGTATATTGTAATAATTAATTTTTTTATGTAAAACTTGTGTGTATTTTTTTTCAAGTAAAAATATGACGTGTGTGTGTTATATAAAAGCGTAGCTTTTAAATCTTGCTATTGGCATAAGAACCTTGTTTATATATAATTTATATGTAAATACATTTGTAAGTATTCTATGAACTGAAGCTTAAGTTTGTTTTCCTCTCAGTAATACTTCACGGCCGACAAACATTTATTTATTTATTTTCCATAAAAAGAATATATTGATTCTATCATTTAATTAAAGTGAAGTGGCTTTGGACGGGTACAGGGAAGTTCCACGTGTTTGAGTGGCCTACTGTATCCCTGTCTATATCCAAGTGCTTCATATTTCATTATAAATAACAGGAAATAAATAAAGAGTTAGTGCAGAAAATATTGGAAGAAAATTAAAGCAGCAAGAAGAACAAGACACACACGCACGCACAAAATATGATTCAAAGTTTTACAAAAAAGAAAAAAAGAAAGAAAGAAATTCGAGGAAGAGATTAAAGAGTTGAAAAAATTTAGACAGTAAAACTCAGGCGAATCTTGAAAAGATTTAGATGGTCCCCATTATGTGTCAACACTCCAATTTGAAGTCCTAATTAAATCACAGTCATTTGTTTGATTAGGAGATAAAATAATTAGTTACACTGTATTATGAATTACAAGATAACATTATAGCCAGTTTAGTGTTGTGAGCAATTCATAGTCTTCTTCATACAATTTAACAATCAATATCCTTGTAATTAATAAAAGGAGATATATTGTGAGGTTTTTAAATGTTGAGAGATAAAATTGTATTTAAAAAAATTAGAATCAAGATGCTCCCAACTCTATAATTAATTTAAGGGAAAAATTATATTTTTATCCCAATTTTTTTATTATATATCCATATATACTTATGACCTTTATACTTCACTCTTTTTTAAAATATAGCAAACCTCCAACTTAATATATTATTAAGGAATTTTTTAATTAAATTAAACCCACAATGAGTTAATTAATTATCCTTAAAATTACATTTTTTTAATATTTACTTTTATTTAATAAAATATTTCAATATATCATAAAACCTTATTAATTAATTACACTCAAGTATTATTTAAAAAAATCTTATTAATTATATCTTGAAAAACCTCAAATATCTTATCTATTTTTAATATGATAGCTTTATTTGTTCAAAAAAAAATATGATAGCTTTAAAAAATGTTTTATGATATTGAATGAAGGGAATTGAGAAAAGAAGTGCTTAATCTGTTAATTAATCACTTGGTCCAAGTTTAATTTCGTAAAATGAATTGAATTAGAGAAGAAGAAAGTGGGAGCTGGGAGATTCAAAAAGCGAAAGAGGAAAACATTGTAAGAGACACACAACTTTGCAGAGGCATGCCTCTCCTCCTCCTCCTACTTTAGCTTCTCTTTAGAGACTAACCACTTTCACTTTCTCTCTCTTCTTCTTCTTCTATGGAGTCTTCAAGGTTCAGAGACGACGATTCTGACTTCAACATCTCAGAATGGAGCTCTAAGGCTCGTATCTCTCGCCACAACACCATGTCCAGAAGATTCTTCAGAGAAGATTCCACCTCTTTCCGATCAAACTTCACCGTATCCAGCACTGCTTCTTCTCCTGGTTACCCTCTCAGAGGTACATATCTTTATATATACATATGTGTTTTATCACTTTCCCTCACTTTCCCTCATTTTCCTTCATTTTCTCTCTCAGATGAAATCGACCCCTCCACCTACTGTTTCTCCACTGCTCTCAAAGGTAACGTAATCATCATCACTCCTCAATGTTTCAAGAATCACTTGACATCAATTATATATATATTATGTTGCAGCATTGCAAGCCAGGTCTGGGTTACGCAGTTGGGAGTACTGTTCATCGTCGTCTCCAGAAGGTTTTGCTTTGAATTCAAAGTGGAGCGAAGCTGAGAAGTATATCTCCAATCCGCTTTCGGGGAAAGTTCCATTGGAATGCTTATCTGCAAAATCTCGCAGTGGAAGGTCCTTCATTATCAGAAACTCTTCATCTTCTTCTTCCTCCAACAGAATCATCACCATGTCTGCTCCTCTCGTGTATCCTTCAACCCACCTTCCATTATCATCGTCATCTTCTTCCACCCTGCAATTCCCCGTTCCAGGTTCTTCTTTTTCTTCATTTTCATAATCATACAGATTCAGAATCTCCTCTGTGTATTAATGATCTTCACTGATTGTTACGACAGAAAAGAAGAAGCAGGGAGGGACGAGAGATGTAGGAACTCAAAGTACACCACCATGTCTGAGTTCAAGCAGTCCGAGTCCTGCTTCAACGCCTTCCATTATAGAGAGAGCAATCAAGCGAGTCGGAGAATCGCCCGTTTCAAATTCAAAGACAAAATCCGAGGAAGATCAGGTATGTAGTTTTTTTTTTTTTTTTTTGTAAAAGAGGTGTCGAGGATGAAAAAATACATAAGATATTTTTAATATATAATTAATGATCTTTTTTTCAATAATATTTTTAATAAATATATCATCCAAATTTTCATCTTTCAGTGATAATGTATTGAATAAAAATAAATATGAAAAAGATAATATCAATTTAAAACTAAGTGACGAATTTATTGAAAGTTAGAATTGATCAAATGTACTTTATATTCATGAAGGAGAGAATATTGTTTTTGTTGAGGTTGTTGAATTCTGATTCTGAAAGGTCAAGTTCATTAGTAGCAAGTGTTGATTGGCTCAGAAGTGGGAATCTTATAGAACCAAAATTTCATGTAGTGTGTGTTTTAGAAGAGAGATGCTTGTCTTTGCCAGTAATTAATTAATGCAAGAGAGTTGAAAAATGGGCAACTTTTGAATTTGAACCATATATGGAGAAGCATCCAAAAAAGCAAATACAAAAATTAACTTGTCTGTGATATTTTTCCCCCGTTTTTTTTTTTTTTGGTTTTCAGTTTTTGTGTTTACATTTCCCGATGAGAGAAGAAAGATGACAATAAATGAGATTGTTGGGTTCCAAAATGTGGCACTTAGACAGATATATATTGGTCCCTCTATTTACATGCGCCCTCTCTTGTCTCCATCTCTCTACTGTCTCCCTCGAATTTTCATCATGCACACATATTTCCAATCCTATTTATAGAATTGAAAAAAAAATTATCTTATTTATAAATTAGCTTGTTAAATTTTTATCATATTTTTTTCATTTATGTTTTATTAAATATTGGAGAGAAAATATATTGTTAAAATATATATATTTAATAGGAATAAAATTAAAAAATTATTAAATTTTTAGACAATATTAATGAGTTTTAAAGTTTTTTTAATTTTAATAAAATATATTAAAAGTAACTTATAAATAAAATTAGAGAAGTAACATCTTTCTTTTCATAACATAACATTACTACTCCTTTTGTTTCATCATTTATGTTTTCTAAGGTTGTTGTACATAGATTTAGAAATGTGATAAATATGTAAAAATATGTATGATATAATTTATCAAATCCATCCCTCATTTTATAATTTGTATTTAAAAATTTTATAATAATAAATAGTAGATTACTCCAAGTATATATAAATTAGGAAAAGTGTTAATAAATAGTACTTAAATTCTTTAAGAAAAACTTGAAATATGAAATCATCTTTCTCTAAAAAGACAAATATGATGAAACAAAAGCAGTATCTACTTTACATACTAAGAATCTAATTGATGTCTTTAAAACTACCTCCTCTTTTCTAGAATATTCTTCATTTTTATTAGAATGCAAGGCCATGTAAATTACATATAAAAAGATACAAAAATTAGATTACATTAGATTCTAGGAGGAATCTACATCCTAAAGATTAAAGATTAAAAATAATTAAATCTAAATTGTCTTAAGAAACCTGACTTGAGCAAACATATTAGCGCACCTATTAATTTTTATAAACAAATGTTTGACTAGTTTTCATCAAATATTCTATTATCCATGCCTCTCTCTCTTTCACACACGCAATATATATATATATATATATATAGATCTGAAACCATCTTTCACACACGCAATATATATATATATATATATTGATCTTAGATCGGCCATGAAAGTGTTCTTTTCTTTCATAACATGTCTCAGTGCTGATGAAAATGATGAAATTGAGAAGAATCTGAGGAGAATATATAATAAATAATGGAGAGATTTATCTGTTTGGCGTGGTCTGTCTCATGTGAGCCTGATAAGAAAAGAGTACATATGGATGCATTGAGGGTACGAATGAAAATGCCCAAACACTGTCGTCCTACTGTTTCTTCTTTTGGAACATATACTAAGACCTTTATCAATTATTGCATCTTCTTCATCATTTTACTGTTTCCATATACTCAACATCATTGGACTTTGGTGTGTGACTCAAGTTTTTTTTACAGTACATTCCATCTATTAGTTACGCATGTCGGGTAACTACTTTTTTTTTTTTAAATTGATGATATATGTGAAGGTAGGTTTCGTGATTTTAGGATATAGGTGAATCTAATTTTAAATATAGAGTTCGTTCTTTATTGATTTCTGTGTTACATGGTAATTTTAATTTATTTTAATATTTTTTCTTATTAGTGAACATTATATACAGTAATTTTAGAATTTTTATTGTATTGAACTGAAAAGGATAATACCATTACTTATGGCCCACACTCTAGTGTTGATTTTTATGTGAGCAGAAAACGCATTAACACACCCCCCCTTTCTCTGTCCCCACACACACAGAGAAACTTTATAAAAAATTAATAAATAATTAATTGAAGAAAACAAATATATCAAGATTGTAATGCCATATAAACTTTTGACAACCAACAATGGTTTCAGCAGAAATTGAGTAAGTTAAAGTGTATTTAAGTTTTGATGAGTCGGATTTGAATTTATATATATCAAAACCATTGTAATCTAAACTAGTTGAAGTAGTATCTTGATTGATTTAATGAAATATGTTTTGTTTATAATTAATTTAATTAGAGTTCTAATTATATGAACCCTTGAACTAATATCTTAATTAATTCAATATATTTGAAAGAACTGTTCCACTCAATTTGAATTAGTGGGAATCAATTGTGAATCCAAATAATTTGAAATTTGAATTCAAATTGAAGAGAAGAGAAGTGAAAAAATGGGGAGGCACGTGAGAAGGAAGAAGATTGACAATGATGTGAATGCATGCAGGTGGAAGAAGAGAGAGAGAAAGAAAGACAAGAGACACAAACAGAAACAACAAGAAGAGATGAAAAAGAAGAGCAACTTTGCAGCAGAAGAAGGCAAGCTGGCTGCTTCTCATGGATTCTCAGAGATAAGAAAACAAATAAACCCACAAATAAATATCATAACAATATCTTCCCTACTCATCATTTTAAGCCTTGTTGACCAAAAACAATGATATACTCGTCTTTAAGAATGACCAAGAGATGATGAAGAGATTCACTCTCTTTGTTCTCAGAGGCTATTTTCACGTTAGAGAAAGCAAAAGATGAACAAGTTTAGGTTGAGTAGTGTTTTTTTTTTAAAATTTTATTTTGAGGAAAATAGAGAGAGAGGGAGGGAATTATTGTTTGATGAAGTTTGTTTGATTAAGAGTGAATATGAGTTGTGGTTGTGGTGAAATTTGGGTGACAGCTTGGCCTTCACGTGACTCATTTTTGTTTTTGCCTTATTGATGTGATATCATATCTCCCTCCTTTTATTTCCTTTTATTTATTTAATAATTAATGATATTTACAATTTCGTAATTAAAAGATAAAATAAATTTATCATTTAATCTTTTAAATGGATTGATTCAAAGAATTGTGCGAAAATTGGTACACAATAAGACCTTCGTCTTATAGTGAAGATGAAGAACAGAGCTAGGAAATGAGTGCCTGATTTTTATGGACTAAACTCTGATGAGCTTAACTCATTAGGATTTAAGCTTGAAAGTCTTATTCTCTTTAAATACGTCCTTTTTAAAAATGTCCTTTTTCCAAAACCCAACCGAAATTATAGAGTTCAGGGCCTAACAACTTTTTTCCTTTTTTTGTTTTTGTTTTTCTTTTTTTTTTTTTTGCAAAACCTAACTTAATTCTGAATTATTCAACAAATTGAAATTTCACATTTCACATTTAAAGGTACAAATAAAAATAAAAGATCACACAAATGTTCTAAAAAACCACTAAATATTTGAGCTTGAATATCAAATTAACTTATAAAAAAGACTGAAGAAGTAAAACATAAGGAAAATGAGGAAATCCAACAAGTCCAATCCAAATTCCCGGCTATAGAGAAGAGGCTCCCTCTTTCAAAAAGCCGTACAAGTGATGAACTTTAATAAAACTATCTTTCTCAACTTTTTATTTACTGCTACATAAAATTTTGAAAACTGTTTTATTTTAGAATTAAACTACTTAATTATAAATCCTATAATACAACAAAACGTCTCCTTCAAAGTTTACAACTAGCTATTGATTTACAAATATAAAAATGCAGACTTTTCAAGATTTACTCTGACACACTGGCAAGAAATTGAAAAATCCAAACATTTTCATCAGTCTCACTTTCAAAGTCAAATTTGGATCATTTATTTAATGAGTTCTTTGCCGACAAAATTAATCAAATCACAGGCAATTCAAAAAAAATTATCAAGTACTTGACCTGATATTCCAAGTATGCTCAATCTCACAGAATGTAAGAGTTATTAAAACAAGTATTGGATGTCGGCAAATTCCGACACATAAATACATCAATGCATCAATATCAAAATATAATATAAAATTTATAGCAAATTATTGTGCAACTCAATTCTTAAACTTGGTGCAAAATGCATGAGATCTACATCTACTTATATAGATTCAAGTACATAATGTCATTTCTGGCTACAATGAATTACAAGTGAATATAATCACAGGTTGACACTATCATATTACAAACACTATAACTTGTAATTACACTGCAAAAGGTAACTACACAACTGTAGTTCATGTTTCTACCATTAACAAACTGAAAGCTTCCGTTAAAATATATAGCCAGAGATTCATGAGAAAAAATATCTTCACTATCTGCCTGGCTTCTTGCTCCACTGGGGAAAAAGCTTCACATCAGTACCAGCCACGTCATTCATTATTGAGAATCATGAATTCAAGAATCATCATTTAAGTCCGTATTATGGTCTCTTTCCTAAGCCCAGTCTATCCAATAAAACATCTCTGATAATCAAGGTTATCATTCCCTAGACATCTTAAGAAAAGGAAACGGAAAATACACCAATGATTCAATTTCAAAGTATCCATGTTCAACCATAAATGATGCATGCTATCATCACTAGCTAGCAGCACTAGTTCAAACTTTTGCCAGATAAATATGTACTTTGAACAAGAAGCAACTAGGTGAAAATCACAGGATAGCACTAAAATTCAGATCAGAGTATTACCAACCTTACAAAAAACCTGCATATTTGCTTCACTTCTTTCAGTTGGAAGAGTGCAACGAACATATCAAATTCTAGGTCTTTTGGCCCTGGAACCAGTGACAAAAATCATATATACTATGCTCGGGTTATCCAATAGTAATGATTACAATCAGGTCCCCAAACAAACATAATCTCTCCAGCATAGATTACAATATTTCTAAGCAATTTGAATTTGCTTCGAAAAATAAATGAGCAAACCTTGAAGTAATGTACACTTCAATATCATGTTGCTGTTCTGTCCCATAAACAAACCATCTTTCATCTGCTCCTGCTGCATCCTGAAATTTGATTTCTGCGCATGCCAGAAGCTTTTAAAATTTTGAATAGTTTATGCATATAACTTAACCTCAAAAAGTTACCTTGCAGCAAAACAGCATATTCTGCAGGATAGCATTTTAATCTCCAAAATGCCCGGCCACAACTATCCAGTAACAAAGGCTCAGTTCTGACAGCATCAGATCTTTGTTTAGCTGTGTAGTTACAGTCAAAACAATCAGTTGTTGCAATAAACCTAGCAAGACAGGAAGAAGTTTTATTTACATGCATTTTTTCTCTTTTTGCCTCTTTTAAATGCATTGTTAACTTGCTAAATTCAGCCCCACTATGGATAATTAAAGCAGGATTTGTGTTAATCGCACTTCCAATAATATAGAAAACTCATACTAAAACATCTTAATTTATGTCTTAAATCAACTGAAAATAAGTTGGAAACTACTTAATATACCAATAATCTTTTTATTTATTATATTAAAAAAAAACTACTTAAGGAAAATACTAGTCGTGAATTAGATTTTATGATTAGATGCCAATAGATGTTTGTCACCCATCATTAGCTTAAGTTAAAAGTATAAGCATCTAAACCTTCTTCCTTGTTCGCGTTAGTTGTTATTATATTGTAACTTAGATGATCTTTAGAATTCTAGAACCACGCACACCCGCTCAAACTTCGACAAAAGATGGAAGAATAAGATCTTTGGGTGAGCGAGAACTTTGCAAAATGGTATGAAGAGAAGCTCCAAAGAAACACAGCATACTTTTAGGAACCAGGCTCTTTGCCTCAAGCATCTTAGCATGAGCACGAGCTGCCTCGCTTTTTATCTTTCTAACAAGTCCTTCATGCTCTGAAATTGAAAGGGGAGCACCATTTTTTGCAATAATGGCTTTAGCCACATCATCCTTCATTTTTTGCTTAAGACTTCTTTCCTGCAGATAAAATAAATCCACAAATTATGGAGGCAATTTAAAAAAAGTATAATACATCCATAGAAGATGCACAACCTCATGTCGCTACCTTTTCCTTAGCTGCAGCAACTTTTATTTTTGCTTCTTTTGCACTTTCAGCAAATTTTGTGTGTTCCTCATCAATAAAACTCCTTATAGTCCTGGACAGGTTTTGTAAATTACAAATTCACTCCAAAGAAAATTAAGACAATAAGAAGGACAAAGGTAGGAGATAGAGGGAAAAAACAATGAAATCATCGCAAACTTGTCCCAGATTATTTCCTGCCTACTTACTCTGTGCCCAAAGCTTCATCGCAAAAAAAATTCAATAATCTAAGCTTATTTGATAAATTCAGATTATAATAACCATCAATTCCTTCTTCAAGACAACCTAGCTGCAATTCTTTTGGTACTACATCAGATTCAGATATTATATTTCTGAGAGCTTCCCACCATGCAATTTTTCCACTCTTCAATTTTAAGGAACGAGACCTACAACGAAGAGATTGAGGTGGTCGAATGTCATCCAAGTGAATAAGAGAGTAGGGCTTTCCAGAAATAAAGCTTGAATAATTACATGCATACCCTTCTCCCGATTCACTTAGTATTAGAGTCAACAATCTGATATAGAACTGAATTACTAAGGTCTTTTGTCTTGGGCGAGCATTTTGGATGCATATCAATTCTTCTAGTATGGCTTCAGCTTCTCCTTTCTTCATATCAAGAATCTGATAGTAGGCCACAGGAGATATTCAAAACAGTAAGCATAATTAATATGTTAAACAGAAATGATTTCTTCAAAGCTAACATAATTACATAATGAGAATCATGTACTGCATTAATTTTTTCCATCTTGAAAATTAAAAATTCAACAAAATGTGTCAAATCGCAATGTGATTTAAATGCTTTCAGCATTTTTGAGGATCATCAACATTCGACTTGTAAACTATGTGATTAATCAGGGGCAGCTGTCCCAATTTGGTACTATTAGGATAGAGCAGTGAAAAAACTAGCAGTCTGTATTTGATTTGTGAACTACCTACAAGATACATTTCATCATATTGCAATCATACAGGCAACAAGCACCATCTATCCCAAAAGTTAGCAGAATCAAACCCAAGACATACCTTCTCAAAAGCGGCGCAAAACTCCAAAAACTGCAATGCGTGACCAACATCTTCAGTTGGCAATTCAAGGTCTGTTATACCTGTTAAAACGGAGCCCAGAGGCAAGGAAATTGCATTGAGCATTTCTTTATTCTCAGGATTGACGATGTCTTTACAAGTTTGTTTATTCATTTCTTCTTCCACGTCTTTCTCGTCAGAATTCAAAGAAACGTCATTTGAAGTCCTGGAAACCTTCATTTTCTGTCGCATTTTGTTTCGTTTCTTCCCTGCTTGAATGTTATCATCAGTTGCATTTTGCTTTGTTTCCTCAAATGGAACTTCACAACAAATTTTAACCCTTTTCTTGCTCCCATTTTGGCAAGCATCATTTACTCTGCTTCCATTACATATTTCCTTTAGTCCTTCCCGCTTTGTTTTTTTGGGTCTTCCCTTCTGAGAGTCAGAGTTTAAGCCACTACTTCCGTCTAATGAGTTTTCCTTGCCATGTTTCCCTGACAGAGTAACGACAAGCTCCTACAGAACCCCGAAAATAAATAAATAAATAAACAAACATAAACATAACATAAACGTAAAAATCAACCAAAATATTCAGTAAAGGATACAAGCCATTAGTCTATGATCTATCTAAGAGGATATAAGACAGAAAAATAGTCATCAAACCTTGTCTGAACCACCTGGCATTTTAGGTGACACAGCGTTACTCTTAACCTCCATATCAGAATTTGAAATATTAAGATCAATCAATAGTTCCTGCATTAGGTATGAATTATATAAGCGACAAGTAGCTCAATGAACCATTATGTACATAGTTTTGACAGCTGCAACGGAGTTGGTAAGAGTAATGAGATGAACAATAGCATGACGTTTTGGAAGAAATC